TATATATATATATGGCACTAAATAGCGCGAGTTAGATATTATTGTAATGTTTCGGACCTTTGCCCGAGGAGATTTTCTCAATCTGGACCTTTTGGAATTTTAGTTGAAGACCCCTGCTCTAGACGATACTTGGCTGTAATCCAAACAGCAGGAATTCAGACTACGGCTGTGTATTTGCAGAAATCTGGTGATACAGATTTATATGAATAATGATACAGGGGTTATGATTCAATATATTACAATACTTTAAGCAAGGTGCTATATTGCCAATTTTGTAATATAATATGAAGAAAACTGTCCTTTTTTTAAAAGAACAAACCATCATATGCTTAAATTCAGATGCAATGAGAACATTGGGATCTTCATTTATCACCGTCCCTGTTCCATCCAACATCATCATAGCCCCACCTTGAGAGGGCCCATACACTGAGAAGGTGCATATCTTTGCAAATAGAGCATTAGTTAAAAACATTGTTTTGTCATTTGATTCATTGGTAAGATGAAAGTACACCAGCTGGTGACTGTTGCAACCTACCTTCTGGTACAGGTTCAGGTACTGTCCAGAGCAAATAGTGTTCCTAATATTAACTTCACTTGCTGCTAGTAATCGGTGCAACTTTATCAATTTTCTGTTTTTAGATGAATTGTTTATGATTCTGTGGCGATCCTATAAACACTGATATTCTGATTATGGCAAGGCAACTTAAAAAAGGATGTTTATCGGTTCGCCTGTGTGTGATTGTATATTTTACATTTCATCTTCCAACCTTTTTACAAATGAATGATTAATGTGGTATCCTTCAGTACCTGTGTAGGTTTGGCCTTTTTTATTAAAGTTAGAATGATGAATCCAATTTTCCTTTTGATTTTCACTGTGACTATAACTATTTATTATAATGTTCCTTCTGCTCTGGTTTCCCACTTTAAACGATGATAAATTCACAGAATATGGAGTGTGATTTGTTTAGTGCTTCTGCGCGATGCGTCTTGAGTGTAACTACCAAAGTTGAGATTAAACTTTTGATAAAGTGTCCTCGTGTTTGGATGCATTTGAAAAAGCTAGTTTTCTGTATTTGAATGGCTTCAGTCACTGTGTTCTCCATTATATTTCTGCTCTTACGGCACAAAGCAGAGTGGAGTCAAAGACTCTCAGGAAATGGAAGCTCACTAGATAGCCACACATAACTGTATTGAGTACGAGCCGACCAGACAGACGTATTGACCACGGTGTGTTTTCAGTGGCGCTTGGAAAGCTCTCAGCCATGTCTCGGCTAGACGGCCTCCTCTGAGGTCTCTCCCTGACTACGTCTTTTCTTAATCTTGATGCTTTGATGTTGCACTCAGGTTTGTCCCGCCCCTCTACGCTCACTGACTGCCCTGCTTCCATGCTAATGCACTCATGTTGTATAACGAAGGTTGAACTTGGCTCCACCGGATCAAATCTGCATAAATGTGTTGGTGTGCAGGGGACAGTTCAGAGCGTCCCTTATCAAATACAACAGTCTGTCGTCATTGAGGGTTTGCAGACTTGTTGACACACAAACAGACGGGCGCAGTCGCTGCTCGTCTCAGGCTCTGTCCTCTCAGTGTGGGAGTTGTTTGCTGTGGCCACTGGCTCACAAGGGGGGCGTGGACCTCCTCTGCTCAGATGCTGCAGTGCCTGACATCCTCTAGTGGTGGTTGTGAAAAAGTGCATTTCAAACCGCTGTCGACTGGGTGCGGAAATGTTTTGAGGTTCCATCAGAGGAACTGTTGACACACATTAAATTTCTGTGCAGCTATTTTGTGATGCTTAAGATAATTTCACCCTTTGTCAAACAGCGGAAGTTAAGATTATAGTCAATGTTTTGTCTTTGTGGGTAAAATGTACAGCGTGTTTTTATGGTTTTCTTGCAAACGCGTTATGTTAACATTCACCAAAACTCCTTTCTGTGTATCCTTGTGGTCTATACATCCTCATAAAACACTTCTAAAGATGATTTTCCCTATAAAGTCTGGAAGCTGCATTGCGTTCAGCTTTGCAGAAGGACTGAACACCCTTTCCATTTCTCTTCTCTGTCTCCGCCCTCTCCCTCCAGCCCTAACTCCAGACAGGAAGTGGTCACCGCTACGTCCTCCACACAGGGAAAGAGTGGGATTCGTAAGATCTGCCTGGTGTGCTCTGACGAGGCTTCAGGCTGCCACTACGGCGTCCTCACCTGTGGCAGCTGCAAGGTCTTCTTCAAGAGAGCAGTGGAAGGTACAAATCCACCAGACGCCGTTACTTACCTCCCTGATTTATTCATCACCGACCTGTCACTAAGTTTGCTCAGATGCTGGACTCATTATGACTTTTAAGATGGAGGCATGTTCATTACAAAGTAAAGGACTGGGATGCTGCTAATTAGTCCCCCCCGCCCCCTGGAGTGTTTCCACAGCAGTGACGGTAAATAACAGATTAATCTTCCTCCTCTGTGTACCTCAGGGCAGCATAATTACCTGTGTGCTGGGAGGAACGACTGCATAATAGACAAGATCAGGAGGAAGAACTGCCCGGCCTGCCGCTTCCGCAAGTGTCTGATGGCAGGCATGAACCTGGAGGGTACGTATTAAACCACACCGATAACGCCAAACTGTGTCCCCTTCAGTCGGTTAATCTGCTCCTGTCTCCTCTTCACCGTCTCTCTTTATCTCACTTCACTTTTTTACTCCTGCAGCGCGCAAAACCAAGAAATTGAACCGCTTAAAGCCGAACAACCCGCCCGAGCCGACTCCTACTCCGCCGATCGAGGCTCGCTCCCTTTTACCCAAGTGCATGCCTCAGCTCATTCCCACCATGCTGTCCCTGCTGAAGGCCATCGAGCCGGACACTATCTGCGCCGGCTACGACAGCACCCTGCCTGACACCTCCACCCGCCTCATGACCACGCTCAACAGGCTGGGCGGCCGGCAGGTCATCTCTGCTGTCAAGTGGGCCAAGGCTCTGCCAGGTTAGTGGTTTGTATTGACATGAAAGTAGTTTATATTGGTACGTTTGCAAAGAGAAGGATGTGACACATTGAGGTAAATTTGCAGCGAGAACGAGTTTCACTTTAGCGTATTGTGCTTCAGTCGGTTGAAGTGTTTCCTCGTCCTTCCCCTCAGGTTTTAGGAACCTGCACCTGGACGACCAGATGACTCTGCTGCAGTGCTCCTGGCTCTTCCTCATGTCTTTCGGTCTGGGCTGGAGATCTTACCAGCAGTGCAACGGCAACATGCTGTGCTTTGCACCGGACCTCGTCATCAACGAGTATGTATCAGTCTCGTGATATTTTGTGATATTTTCACGCCTGTGATTTCCGTATTACCGTCAGTCGGGCCAACGATGTAACCATCTGTTCGTTCACGTACGTCGGCGCAGCTCTCTGCTGTGTGTCGTATCTCCAGAGAATCAAGCCACGTCTGTCAGCTGTCCTCACTAATCAGTGTTACAGACCTGATGACTCGCTTCATAAGCAGCGCTCTGACTGTAGTGAGCAGTCGGCACAGCCTAAAGCTGTAATAGGCCTTTTGATTTGTTTCCCTTTTTCTTTTTTTCCTAATCACAAGCTGAAAGTTAATATGATCATAATTAATATCTGATGATGTTTTGTTCTCTATTTGCCAGTCCGCCTCCAAACTAAATTCAGCTCCAGCTTTTTTCAGATTGTTATATTTCCATTCGATTATGACAGACTTGAAACAATCTTAATGAATTTTCAGTTTAATGTGACTTAATTACACCGCGGCATACATTTCAAGACCTTTCTCACATGTTTGTCCCCACTTTACCTTTCACCCACCGCATTACTTCACCGCTGACATGACACTCACTCATCTGAAATATGCATTGTCAACCTTCTGGAAGAATGATTTCAAATGGGATCCACTAAATTGTTTGTAGCGAGACCTTGAACATTTAATCTACGGCGATATTACAGAGAGCCGCTTGGTCTCCCTGATTGAGATTGCACAAACCGCCCCCTTTTTATAAATCACTTGTGGCTGGAGGAGCCGCCGCTGTTTAACCGCTCCTGTCTCGTTCCACCAGGGAGCGGATGAAGCTGCCCTACATGGCCGACCAGTGCGAGCAGATGCTGAAGATTTCCAGCGAGTTCGTCCGGCTGCAGGTTTCCCACGACGAGTATCTGTGCATGAAGGTCCTGCTGCTGCTCAGCACAGGTCAGCTGAACCGCCACATGTCGAACGTGCTGCTGTGTTAATGCAAATCATTGCAAAAGCCATTACTCCAACCCGATACTGTCCACAGTGGCCGAGAGATAATATTGACGTATGCAGTTCATCACATCACTGCACTTTACCAACTCACTGACATGCAAATAAGTCTTCACAGGGCGACCTGGTTTGATACAACACACACACACACACACACACACAATTTCACCACACGTACATAACTCCACTTCAGGTTATCTCCAAGGCAATCGAGTGCCGGAGAATTTAAGATGTAAACAAAGACTCTATAATTAAACTGATAAAAAACCTATTTAAAGGATAATTGCAGGCTGCTTTGGGTGTGTGGCCTTGTTCTTGCAAGCGCAATTGCTCCGTGCTGCTAAATATTACCGAGAGCGCACCCTGAGAATGACCTGATGTATATTAATCAGTTGCCCTTTTTCAGCCCTTCACTGCCCAGACGTGATCATTTAAAATGAAAAGGATGTCCATCCTCCTTTTGTGATTTGCAGGGCGTCTGTCCTTATCTCTGTCCCAGGTGTTGACCTTTTTAAGTTTCTCCCCGCAGTGCCGAAGGACGGCCTGAAGAGCCAGGCGGTGTTCGACGACATCCGGATGTCGTACATCAAGGAGCTGGGGAAAGCCATCGTGAAGCGCGAGGAGAACTCCAGCCAGAACTGGCAGCGCTTCTATCAGCTGACCAAGCTGCTCGACTCCATGCATGAGGTACAGAGATCCACCACACAGTTGTTGTTTTTCCCCTATAATGCAAAGTTACTTTTATTTGGTATCCTTTGCATAATGTAATGAGTTCACTTGAGGCTCCAAATGACGGTTGTAGTTGAAAAATATGTACCATCTCGCTATAAATCACATATTTTGGAAACCAATATCAAGACATTTTTCACCAAATGCTGAATGTGTGTTTTAGTGATAATCATCCACTGATAGGTTCTCTCGTGTGTGTGTGTGTGCAGATGGTCGGTGGACTGCTCAGCTTCTGCTTCTACACCTTTGTGAATAAATCCCTGAGCGTAGAGTTCCCGGAGATGCTCGCGGAGATCATCAGCAACCAGTTACCAAAATTCAAGGCTGGGAGCGTCAAACCTCTGCTCTTCCACCAGAGATGACAGTGCCCCGTAACAGACACAATGCCTTAAAATCCCACCACATCACCTCACCAATCCCCCCCCCCCCCCACCCACCCCTCTGAGGTGCGACGATGAAAGGAATGAGGAGCCGAGGAGAGAATGATGTTCGTGAGAGCGAGCGCGGAGACGTTTGTGTAGAAACGAGAGGGTGGGCACAGATGTTTTGTTTTTGTCGAGCAGACGTAAGATGTGTATAACAAGTAGGAAATGTTTGTAAGATAAAGAAAAAATATAATCACAAAGAAATATAGGCTAACATCCATGTTGTCTCAGGTTTCTTACCTTCAAATCCAGAACAATATCTAAGATAGATAAACAGATGTCTATGTGCAGGTTCTGATAGTATTTTCTACATTTTCAAATTAACAGTTTATACAATTTTCCAGGTCGTCGTTACCTGGGAAGGTAACCGAGCTTAATGAATACGACATGCTCTTAAGTAGGCTTTTAGACTGTATGTTGCTCATTTAGTTTTTATAGGAGGTTGTAACAAAATGTTTTATCAGTCATGCGGGGGGGGGGGCTTCTGTAAATCAAAACAGTTCTGTTGGATTATTATTGGACGCGCATCGTTAAAACACAAGCTGACCTCTCACAGGTTTACACAAGTCTACTTTAAAAGGGAAGAGAATATAGAATATGTGCCTTTTTTGCTTCAGACCTCATCTTAGCCATTTCTTCCTTTCCTGTTCGGGGCGTGCTCTCTGAAACCCACCGCGGTCTAAACCCTCATCGTGTGTCGATTGTACTTCTCGCGTTACGTGCAGCTGCAACTTTTTCCTTTTCTCTCTTTGTACCGTGTTTATCGGTGGAAGTGCGGGTCAGCTCGGCCCGTCCTCCATGTGTAGAAACGGTGAATATTCAATGCGATATCCGCACACTCAACTCCTTAATTGCGATTAGAGCACTTTGTACCCCCGCTAAAGGCTTTGAAGGACTGTGAAGAAAGACTGTTATGCTGTACCGGTCTGTTATGAAATGACTTCAGATGGAAGTCGTGAAACCTTTTTTCTATAGGAACTAGCTGGCTTTGATATTTATTTCAGACCCCACTTCTGCCCCCAAATAGTCTAGTAATGGAATGTGTTGGATACCTGCGTCGACCAATCAAAGAGAGGGCATATTATGTTCTGTTTGCAAGATCATGCCGCGTTTAATTCATCCGGAAGACTCATTTCTGTGTTTCTAACATTGCTTACAATTGGTTGGAAAATAACCGTCTAGTTTGTTACACTGACAAACATGCAGTCATGATTCTGCCACTGATGATCCTTTCATCACCAGTATATTCATGCTCGTAATATGCCTCTGACTTTTTAAAGCCGTTGCATTGTTGCTATATTTGTCAAAGGAATTGTTTTACATTCTGGGAAATGCATTTATTTGCTTTCTTGCAGAGGATATTGATTCTACTCTGTAACGTGTGAACGGTAAATGTGCAGCTGGAGTCGTCGGTTATAGTTCGACTTCGCACAGAGACAGGAAGTGACTGACTGTGCAAAGGACCATGGGTTCCCCTGGTTTTCTGTCTTTATGCTAAGCTAAGCGGCTCCTGGCTGTAGCTTCCTATGTAACGTACACTTATGAGAGCGGTGTCCGTTTTCTCTACAAGACAGTGAAGAAAATAACCACGTTTTCCAAAATGCCTTAATTCTTCCTTTTAAAATGAACGATTTGTACGATAGACAGCTTGTGTATACGGCTTTTTGGATCAGGCAGATTCATTTCCCTGTAAAGCTCCCACAGCTGCTGATAACCTCTGACCCTTCCTGTTTAAGCCTTCTGCTCTTTTAACGCCATGTAGGCACCTTGTCCACACGTCTGTCTTTAGTGCACTTACATGTCTGTCTGTCCGTTAGGTAGTCCAGCCCCAATGTCTGAGAGAACTTAGCATCCGTCACCTCGCGGAGTCGTGTCACAGTGGAAGTGTAGCAACTGGGGAGGCGGGCAAAATGGATCCTTTTTTATTCTCTGGGAACTATTTCTGTGCCAAACTCCAGTTCTGTCTGTTTTCAGTGGCGCTGAAAGCTGGTCAGTGTTTGCATCAGTAGAGGGAAGCTAGTTCCAGCATTGAAGCTTCTAAATCGTCCCAATTATCTGAGCTTCTGTCCGCTGGATTGGGATCGTTATTAACGAGCGATAACTGAGCTGTATTTGTAACACAAGGCACTCGCAGAGTCACGGAGGTCTTTCTTTGTGTGTTTGTGTACGTGGGGGATTTGGAATGTGCTCAGCTTGTCATGATGCATGTGTTTAAAGCACAATATAATCCAGGTTTTGATATGAATGTTAATCTTAGAGGAATTAGTTTAACTAAAAAAAGAAAAATGCTTTTGACAGATTAAAGATGACGCCCTGCCGGTTTAAGAATAATTGGATAAACACGCCAAGTGAGCGACTACAGAGTACTCATTTAAAAAATGGGAAAATGTCAAATTGTTTTGCTCTCGCTAAACTATCCCAACTACACATGTAGAATCACTGATTATACATTTTGAAGCGCTTCCCATGCTCAGGTTGTTGAAACTTAATATCTGATTCGTGTAGTACGTGGTTGTCCATGTGAAGTCGTTTTTAATGTCCCGACTTTAAGAACCAAAAAAACGGTCAGTTTGGATTCCCACCATGTGTCTGCTGTGATTTATGGTGTATTCTTCTGTCAGGATTGTGAAAGTTGTATTAACGTGCTGCCACCGTCATCATTCATAGTTACCCAGGCTCAGAAAATTATATATATATATATATATATATTTTCTTTCTTTTTTTTTTTTGGATAATTCAAAATGGTTGAAAACCATCCTCATGAACTGCATAGGGGTTACCCATGGGTTACTTTCACATTCAGTGTATCCAACTCTCTGCTGCTGCTCATTTAAACAGATATATAGATATAGATAGATATAGATATAGATATATATATATATATATATAGATAGATATAGATAGATATAGATAGATATAGATATAGATATAGATATATATACACACACTTGCACACTTGCCTCTTCTCACTCAAAAATGTATCCTTGATTACTTTCTAGTATATTTTTGAGGACAACTGAATATGCAATAGAAACGGCAGATTATCTGTCACCATCACATAACCAGATGTGGTAGCGTCCTCTTTTTTTTTTCCTCCAGTCTTTTTACAGTATAAGCTATTTGCATACACGAGACTTTCATTCAGCATATCTCTGCAGGACAGATTTTCAGGAAAAGATACACTTAGTCAGTAATCGGTCTGCACAGACTGCACACAAAAAGCCTATTTTATGTTTGACTACAAGGTGACCAAAGCAAGCACGGACAAATTCAACATGTGTGTGTGTGTGTGTGTGTGTGTGTGTGTGTGAACGGAGTCGCTCCTGGAAGACAAATGTACAGTTCTTTGTTTTGAATTTAGACACACTTTTTTTTTTTTTTTTTTTTTTTTTTACTCTTTACTCTAGGGTGACGGCTTTGGTCAAATTGTTTAATACTGTGAATAGGATAGGAGTCGGGTCTTTTTCACACACAAACTGTTTGTGAAAGTAATCAACCAGCTTGGATCTAAAAAAGATTTGCACTACCTAAATATTGTTTGAAAATCTATTTTGTATAAAGCATATGCAGACATTAACTTTTCAGAATTATCAAGGGCAGATCATGTTTAACTGGTATATGCTTTCTCTAAAAAAAATAAAGTTTTACTTAAAAATAATTTGAATATGTATATATATAATCCATTGTAAAGAAAATGTGTTGTATTTGTCTCCAAATAATAGTTTTTCTATACCTAGACCTCTGTATTATTTCTCCTCTGTAGTGTGATTCCTCCGTTGATTAAAAGTCAAACTGTATGTCTTTGTGTGGTACTTCTCCAAAACAAGGAGCTGTATGCTGATGTTTGCCATGATCCATGACACTGAACTATGGAAACGGTAAGCTCGTTGTGTGACACTTTTCGTTATAACAAATAAATGTGCTCTTCCATTCCGACACCTGGTTCATTGACTGCTGAAGAAGAGTTTACTTCTATTCTCCATCTTTATGTTCAGTGTGTTGAAGCACATGTAAACATCTGGCATCAGTCCCATCCCCACGAGAGAGGTCCGTGCAGGTACTGTACTTGTGTGCAAATGTGAGTTACTTGTACTCCAAGAGTATTTCATTTTATGCTACCGTACACTTCTACTCCACTACATCTTAGAGTCAAATGTACTTCTTACACACCTTCATTTGTCTGACAAATTTGGTTAAAGATATTTTTATGTCAGTTTAGAAAATATGCATTGTTATAGATAAAACTACCCAGCTGTATATACAGTATAACAAGTATAAAGTATGGTTGTCTGTAATGGTCAGTGATGACACCTCGTCCCATGGAGGTTGAGGCCAAGAGTCGGGGACGCGCATCCAGCTGCCTCTGTGATCACTGCGCTCGTTCACGAGCATGTAAACACCTGACTACCACTGCAGGGGACCGAGCCGCTGACTTTTCCTCATAACACAAAGAAAAAAAAAAAAAAGCCTCCCTGTTGATTACACAGCAGTGTGTCCTCTGAGCGGGATGACGGATGAGGAGGTGTTTGCATCAGAGGACCAGACGGTGGACAGCGGCCCGCTGGGGGACTTCAGGCGGAGGACTCGTCTGTACTGCATGAATGGCGGATATCACCTCCAGATCCTCCCCGATGGGACGGTGCAGGGCCAGAGGGATGACGGGGACGTTCACGGTAAGACTGCAGCACAAAGCATGATGCGTTCACTTCCTTTAGGCTACTGCAGGTGTGTCTCAGTCAAAGCGGAGGGAAAGAGACGCGTGCACTGTACATTGTTTTAGGGGGTATGGAAGCCAATTGCTGACATTTTAAATGAGTACGCAGCTCATTTTAGGCTTGGAAAAGATAGGACGTCCCAGTTGTGTTTTGTACACGTCTATTTGACTTTGAAATAATGTTTAATGAACTTACTGCAGGAGGAATAAGATGCAAAATGTCAAACTGGAAATGAAAGCCGAATTGATTATGCACATAAAAACTATAATGGTGTAAAGCACATTATATAGAGAACTAGCACACCCTTTAATTCAGAGGTATGGCCTATCGGTCAATATGTATTTTCTAGAAAGTCAATCTTTCTGCTCGTGATTGCAAATAGTCCAGAGAAAAGAAGAGCTCATTGCATATAGGAAGTCAAAATATAGGCCTTCTCAATAATGTTTGCGGCATGAGCTTCATATATTATATTAAAGGTCATGAAATAAACTAGTAATATAAAACTAGAAAATGAATTTCCTGCAGAAAATGCGTGTAAATGTTGACAGCTGAAATTGCAAAGCATTGCTGAAAATACAGAAGTATTAAACTGCAAAGACGTTGCACTGGACTGCTGAAAAAACCTCGAAACTGAAATGTAAAACTGGAAGAATTGATTTCTGAACTGCATTCCCTAAAAAAAGCTAAGAGCTGAATACAGAAAAGCTGGAAGCTAAACTGTAATACTTTTAAAAGGTGGAAGTTTCAATAAATCAAGTGAAAAGGCTGAAAGAGGAAATGCTTTTTACTTTAACGGGTAGAAAAAAAGTTGAATAAAAGCATAACGATTTGACATTTGAATGGTTTCTTTGAAAAATGTAGAGAAGAGGGAAATGACTTTGTGACCCATTTAAAGCTGAAATGAAGTCTGCAGATAAAAGTCTGCAGAAGTAGAGAGAGACAGAATAAGGTTATTAAGAAGGGGGGACAATGGAAAGAGGCTCTTTGGCCTGCTGACTTCTCTCTGGGGACAAACTCTGAGAGTGGAGAGCCCTGATTGGAGGATACGGTTTAAGAAGGGGCGTGTCCATTCCGTCTGACATGGATAGGTAGTCGATGGACAGCTGCAGGGATGACGTATTTTTTAGGCCATCCACAGAAGTAAGCATTGCACAGGTTCCCTCAACAAAAAGCCGAAAGTATTTTTCTATTATATTTAGGAGTCTCCCCGAAAATAAGCTTTGTGGCTTTTTAACACTTAACAGATTAAAAATGAATAAGATGGGTAAATACTGACATATTTTATATTGCAGAACAACAAGAAACACCTTTTTTCAGGCATCTAACCAAAAAAGCATTGGCTTTGAGATGAGGGAACCGGAAATGCCAAAAAGCTGATTTGTTTCTGTGTTTTCGGACTCATTACTGCACACATGAAGTGGGTCAGAAGAAGGGAAACTGAAACTGGTGTAGTTGGCCCTTTTCATAGCATGTCATTACCGGGTAAACACAGGTGTGATTGATAACATTAGTTATAGCCCTGTTGGGCCCTGGTATTGTGAATTCTGGCTCTCTGTAACGTCTGACACACTACATAGAATGGGACCATAATTAATCTTATCAATCACACATGTGTTTACCCTGCTATGACATGTCAAAATGGCTGCTGTGAAAAGTACTTATATGCTCAAATGTTCTAGTTCCAAACCATTTGAAGACTTTTAGTACTATTGCTGTCTTTAAAAGTTTTTAAAAAACAGATAATGTATGAAAGATTACAAGGTTTTAGTGGAGTTTTTGGCTGAGTAGAGAAAAGCCTGCAAATGTGCATCTCTTAAGTTTCTGTGTGTGTGTCACTGCACTAAAGGTCAAATGACCTTGCAGTGTTCAATAAAAATGCAAAGGACTGTGTAAAGAAATGGGAAACTGTCTTATAACCATCACGCGTCAGTGAAACGAACAAGAAGAAGACTGCACTAATTAACTCCTCTCAGTCACCTGTGTCTGTCTGACATCAATCAGAGCCACGGTGACGGTAACTGCTGAGACTCTCCTCGCTCATTACCCTGCATCCCAGACAAAAAATATGTATCATCACATGCGCTAAAATTAATTTCTGCGCCATTCTGTTTACGAGACATCTGAACGTTCATTTGTCAGCTCACCAACACGACAAGGACACTGACACAGAAGTCTCAGATTTGTAGGTGCCGTTCATGACCTATATACTTGTACAAGTGAGTTGCTGTGTTATTAATATTCACAATATTTTAAACGTGTTCTTCTTACAGCTGTGTTGAAGCTCACAGCTGTGGACAGAGGTGTGGTGGTCATCCAAGGAACAGAAGCCGGGAGATATTTGGCTATGAGCGACGAGGGCTGGTTGTACAGTTCAGTGAGTATCTACAATACACCCGATCATGTATGATAGTAAATCAGTACAATAAGATGTAGATGAATACTCCATGATATATGTTAATTATTCATTACTCTTTGGTGATTATTTCTTAAACACCCCCCAAAATGCTATCAGCTGTTCTGTTTTGTTGTGTGTGTGTTCACGTCTCAGCCCACAGTGACTGATGAATGTTACTTCCTGGAGAAGCTGGAGGAGAACCACTACAACACATATGCAAGTCAGAAATATCAGGAGAGGAACTGGTACGTAGCGCTGAAAAAGAACGGAAGATCTAAACTGGGTCCAAGAACTCACATCGGACAGAAGGCCATCTTCTTTCTGCCCCGACGGCTGAGTGACTCCAGAGAGTGACGACAAGCGGCTCATCTCACAGTGATACCTCGAGCTAAATGGATGCCATTTCACCGCCACAAGAAGAAGTTGTGTGAAAATGGTTCATGAGGCACTGCAAAGTCTTTGTAAAATGTTAATCTAATGCATACTTATTAGGGCAAGGACCAGCATGCATCAGAGCTACAGAGAAGTGCCATGTTTCTGTCCACTAACACAGCATCCCGTTTCAGTTGGAAGCAGGTCTTCTTGCTGCACGGAAGAAAAAGTGCCGACAAGTAAACGGCATCTGAAATAGTGGTTCTCAGACTGAGGGGCATGTTGGATGAGAAGAAAAAATATGTATTCTTAATATATATTCTGTTATTATAATGCAATGTACCGTTAAAGAGACATAAAAGCTGTCACTCTGTTGCCTCGCCAATAAATTAGCTCCACAATGCTGACCTGTAAATAATATAATCGTGTGTGTGTGTGTGTGTAATACAATAGAGACAACTCAGAAACGACGCATTAAAAGTGACATTTATTTAACACTAAACATTGTCTGTACAGTTTAATAACAACAAAACCTCAAGGTTGCAGCTCTACATCACATAGAAATAAGCATGATGGGTGTTTTATCAAAGCCATGGCAGCAGAATGAAGTTAACAGACTAAAACCCACATGAACTCCTTCCATTGATGGGTGGTTAGATCATGAACGACTGTCTCATCCTGTCGTGCTGTTTCCTCCAGAATACAAAACAGAAGCCACTGCGTCAGTCATTCCGTGTTGTATGTCTGTGACTTCGACCAATGATGGGAACATCCTCTGGGTTTTATTAGCTATGTTTCTAAAAGTGCACCTGCATACAACATTCTTTGATATAGTTTTAATACCCACAAGATAGCAAACAACTTACACCGTATTAATCATGTTCAAAGAAAGGAAAAACATTTCTCTTTCCCGTCTGTCCATTAAATCTCACGGCAAAAACCTACCTGAAAAAATGGAATTTGAGTTAATTTTCAGCTTTTAGATAATTTGATCCAAACGTCTGAGCGAGATCAACAGCAGAAACCCAGACAGCCTTTTTTTTTTTTTTTTGTATTTTTAATCAGGTCACAGAGCTTTTCCACTGACAATGAATGAGATGCCGACTCGCTGAAGAGCCATGGAAAGGTCAGGCTGTTACATCTACATGAGCTTTCTGAGGACACGAACCAGAAAATGTGCTCACACGCCCAGAAAAATCCTCTGCTGTCCAAACACACGGTCGACCCTTAAGGCTGCAGGGTTCGTCCCGTTACCGTTTAGTCATCTGGTTTCATTATGAAAAGCTCACGCTGGATCATATCTGTAACCTAAATTACATTTCCCAGGGTTGGTAGTTTACCTGATTTAATGTACAACTAAATATCTAACAGGCAAATCATAACCAATACATGATGTACATTTTAATGTGCTCTACTGACACCGTGTTTCAATCACAAGCATGTGTGTTTTAATATGACCGTGCCCTTAATGGGCAGTTTCTCACACGTTAAAAGCAGCAAACAACACTGCCCCCTCTTGGTTAAAAAGAAAAGGGCAACACTACTTAAAGCCAACAGGTGAGTGAAATAACAGCATTTACAGCCCAATGAAGTCTTTGCTTTTTAAGTGTATGTGGGATCTAAATACAGCCAATAGTCGTCACAATAAAACTATGATTAGTGCAGATTACAAAGTGTGTTGCATGCTGTGGCAAACCTACCTGTTGTGTTGACCTGTTGGCTTCAAGTGTCACCAACATGAGACGCTCCCTATTTATCGACCTTAAGGGCTGATGCATGCTCGTACGCTGCCATCAAATGATATAAGGCGTTACTTACACAATATAGACAGAGACGTAAATAGCACTTAACATTCGCCACGAATGAGTACATCAAGGGAATATTACCGTTAACCATTTTCCATTAATAAAGTTTCAAAACAAAAAATAAAAGAAGTGATATAATTCCTGAATATCTCATCGAGAGTCGTCTTCGTCTACAAGTGGTCCGGCTGACTTCACTCTCCACAGAGCTGCTGCTCAGGTTGGTCACGTCCAGCTCTGCCACAGACGATGCCCTGGGTTCAGGTTGAGGTTCAGGGAAACATGAACAAGTCAAGTCTAGAAATGGACTTCAGAAGTATTGCTGGAATATTTAAGGACGTGTGTGAAGTCTGTGGTTCGTCAGTGGCTGTGTGTACATGCACATTATTAACTCAGACTGACAACATTAAGGCTTTCACTTCAGCCAGTACCTCTAGTAGATGAAGAGCACCCTTGTTCGGGGGAGAGTGGCATAGGTGGGGTCAGCCAGCTTACGCACTCTAGAGTAGTTAACAAAGCCTCTGACGAACAGCATGAAGCCTGCGGGGCAAAGAAAAGATATGACAGGTAAGACAATTACCTAAATGTAATCAGTGGGGAATAAAAATAAAACAATGTCTCTCACTTACCCAGGGCCAGGAACACCCACCACAACCAGTACTGTCCATCAAAGTAACCTGGGAAGTAGGTAGAAAACTGCAAGACAGAAAAGAAGAAGTTCCAATTTTATCAACCCATAAGTGATCCTAGAATGTTATCCGAGACCGTTTCCAGAGTCTTTTAGTACAGCGATACAGAAAAGAAGTTGGTGGTTTTGGTGAACGTCCAGTAAACAGCTCTTACCCGGACGATGAGAACCCATTTGATGAGGGACAGACCGAAGCCAGAGATGGCCCCGTATCGACCGGCGGCTGATGTGGTCAAACAGAACGACAAGAAGAACCCGATCCAGTTGAAGAGGAATGCCACTGGTGACAAAATATAATAAATAAGTCAAAGCATGAGCAATAGAACGTGGGAGACATCACACTCCTCCTCCTCCTCCGTACTTTGCTGGAAAACAAGCGTGTGCAGTGGGTGTACTTTGCACCGAGCACATCATGCGACAGCCTCTGTGAAGATGCCGAATTCAGTTTAGAACACAGTAAACCGAGGCCTTCATTCAAGAGCAACGACACGACAAATGAAAAAATTTATCTTTTTCCATGTTCAGTGACCAGATTTCTACAGATATATCAATAACTAGTCTGATTACCAGTCGGCTCTATGAAAGTCAGTTTAGTGTCGATAGAAGACGGTACACAGGTGAACTGTTGAAACACTGAACACGTTCTTACTGAAGAAAGTGAGCATGAAGATGCCGTCATTTCCTATTCGCAGCTGGTCAGCGTCTTCAAAGTCATCCCTGGCCACGAAGTCGTCCTCCTGCACAAACGGCATGAAGTGTGTA